AAGAACTGAGGGCAAGACACAATCACATGTTACTAAGAACTGAGGGTAAGACACAATCACATGTTACTAAGAAACTGAGGGTTTAAGACACAATCACATGTTACTAAGAACTGAGGGTAAGACACAATCACATGTTACTAAGAACTGAGGGTAAGACACAATCACATGTTACTAAGAACTGAGGGGAAGACACAATCACATGTTACTAAGAACTGAGGGTAAGACACAATCACATGTTACTAAGAACTGAGGGTAAGACACAATCACATGTTACTAAGAACTGAGGGTAAGACACAATCACATGTTACTAAGAACTGAGGGTAAGACACAATCACATGTTACTAAGAACTGAGGGTAAGACACAATCACATGTTACTAAGAACTGAGGGTAAGACACAATCACATGTTACTAAGAACTGAGGGTAAGACACAATCACATGTTACTAAGAACTGAGGGTAAGACACAATCACATGTTACTAAGAACTGAGGGAAAGACACAATCACATGTTACTAAGAACTGAGGGTAAGACACAATCACATGTTACAAAGAAACAATATATATTTTTAAGATTTATTAGTTTTTTTGGGGGATTTAAAAAAAATACTTTAAAAAAACCTTACTTATTATAAAAAAACAAACATAGATAATATCTACCTGTCTCACCTCTCTACCTCTCCCCCCCTCTCTGTCTCCCCTCTCTACCTGTCTCTCCCCCTCAGACGTCAGAGCTAGGGGTGACGGAGCACATTGAAGGCGACGCCTGTAAGTTCGCTCTGTGGGTCGGACGCACCCCGACCTCCGACAACAAGACGGTGCTGAAGGTAACAGGAAACACCTTTAATAACACACACTTTAATGACCTGACCACACTCTAACGAGGTCACCTGACGACACACTAACGAGGTTACCTGACGACACACTAACGAGGTTACCTGACCACACTCTAACGAGGTTACCTGACGACACTCTAACGAGGTTACCTGACGACACACTAACGAGGTTACCTGACCACACTCTAACGAGGTCACCTGACGACACACTAACGAGGTTACCTGACCACACTCTAACGAGGTTACCTGACGACACACTAACGAGGTTACCTGACCACACACTAACGAGGTTACCTGACCACACTCTAACGAGGTTACCTGACGACACTCTAACGAGGTTACCTGACCACACTCTAACGAGGTCACCTGACCACTCTAACGAGGTCATCTGACCACTCTAACGAGGTTACCTGACGACACTCTAACGAGGTTACCTGACCACTCTAACGAGGTCACCTGACCACTCTAACGAGGTCACCTGACCACTCTAACAAGGTTACCTGACGACACTCTAACGAGGTCACCTGACCACTCTAATGAGGTTACCTGACGACACTCTAACGAGGTCACCTGACCACTCTAACGAGGTCACCTGACCACTCTAACGAGGTTACCTGACGACACTCTAACGAGGTCACCTGACCACTCTAACGAGGATACCTGACGACACACTAACGAGATCACCTGACCACACTAACGAGATCACCTGACCACTCTAACGAGGTCACCTGTCCCCCCCCCCAGGCGGCGTCCCTGGAGCTGAAGCAGGAGTGGGTCCGCAGCATCCGCCAGGTGATCCAGGAGAGGAGGGGTCACCTGAGGGGGGCTCTGAGGGAACCCATCCCCCTCCCCAAGACCCCCAACCCAACGCTTGGGAGGCAGCGTAGCATCAGCCGCAGGTCAGACACACACACACACACACACACACACCACACACACACACACACACACACACACACACACACACACACACACACACACACACACACACACACACACACACACACACACACACACACACACACACACACACACACACACACACACACACACACACACACACACACACACACATACACACACACACACAATTATCAATTTAAATATTAAAGTGCAATAAAGCTAAAAAGGATTATATTTTGAAATAGCTAGAGGGATTTTATTGTGAAGGGGCTGCAGAGTTTGTAGTAAGCAGCATCTACCTGTCTCCCTACCTGTCTCTCTACCTGTCTCTCTACCTGTCTCCCTACCTGTCTCCCTACCTGTCTCTCTACCTGTCTCCCTACCTGTCTCTCTACCTGTCTCCCTACCTGTCTCCCTACCTGTCTCTCTACCTGTCTCTCTACCTGTCTCCCTCCACCTGTCTCTCTACCTGTCTCTCTACCTGTCTCCCTCCACCTGTCTCTCTACCTGTCTCTCTACCTGTCTCTCTACCTGTCTCCCTCCACCTGTCTCTCTACCTGTCTCTCTACCTGTCTCTCTACCTGTCTCCCTCCACCTGTCTCTCTACCTGTCTCTCTACCTGTCTGTCTACCTGTCTCCCTACCTGTCTCCCTACCTGTCTCTCTACCTGTCTCCCTACCTGTCTCCCTACCTGTCTCTCTACCTGTCTCCCTACCTGTCTCTCTACCTGTCTCTCTACCTGTCTCTCTACCTGTCTCTCTACCTGTCTCCCTACCTGTCTCTCTACCTGTCTCTCTACCTGTCTCACCCTCAGGGAGACGAGTGAGGACGCAGACAGTTTTGGAGACGCCAGCAGTCAGCCTGACACGGTGTCCATCGCCTCCAGAACCTCCCAGAACACTGCAGACAGCGACAAGGTACACACACACACACCTCTCACACACACACACACACACACACCACACACACACACACACACACACACACACACACACACACACACACACACACACACACACACACACACACACACACACACACACACACACCCCCTTTATGCAATTGTTTTTTTTTTTCGTTCAGCGTCTCTTCCATACTCCCCAACATAAAAACTGAGCAGTAACTTTAGGAGTGTGTGTGAGGGGTGTGTGTGTGTGTCTGATGACCTCAGTGTGTGTGTGTGTGTGTGTGTGTGTGTGTGTGTGTGTGTGTGTGTGTGTGTGTGAGAGGTGTGTCTGATGACCTCAGTGTGTGTGTGTGTGTGTGTGTGTGGTGTGTGTGTGTGTGTGTGTGTGTGTGTGTGTGTGTGTGTGTGTGTGTGTGTGTGTGTGTGTGTGTGTGTGTGTGTGTGTGTGTGTGTGTGTGTGTGTGTGTGTGTGTGTGTGTGTGTGTGTGTGTGGGGAGTTTCCTCAGTCTCTCGCCCCTCTGTAACTCGTTCACTTCTCTCTGCGTCGCTCTGAGGTACGTTTCATTTGCTTACCTGCTGCAGGGCGGGAGGGGTTAGTGACCTCTGACCCAGCACTGTTTACAGAGAGGGGAGAACAGGGGGCTGGGGTTAGGGGCTTTACATTCATCTGTGAATAGATTTCAAAAGTAGAGGGGACTCTTTAGAAAGAAGAAGAATAGAAATGTTGATCACTTTGTTACGGCTGAATCTAAAGAAAGGACAGTAATTAAAACAGAGACTTATTGAAATAATGTGCTTTAAGTACATTTAGCTGATTAAACCTGTGTACTTTTACTTAAATAACATTAGTATTAAGTGTTTATACTTCTCAGACTGAAGTTTTTAGTAGTATTTCTGAAGTAGAAGTACTAACCCTGTGTTTTTACTCTCTCCACGCTGCAGCTCACAGCTGGGTTGCATTTGTACGGAAACACCCTTTAATCCCAGGAGACACACACACACACACACACACACACACACACACACACACACACACACACACACACACACACACACACACACACACACACACACACACACACACACACACACACACACACACACACACACACACACACACACACACAGTGATGTACGGGGTGTCATGTTTTATATTTGTCTCGTTTGTCTCGTCCTATTTCTTGGTCTCGCTGAGAGGAGGAACCAACCCAGAACAGATATTTGTATATTTTGTAGATTTGAAGGAGGTGTATTAACCCTTTAGGACGTCTTTAACTGGCTAATACTATTTAAAAATACTTTAAAAAACTCTATATAAACCCTGTTCTGAGGAGGTGTTTGATTCGCTCACCCTGCGTCCCTCAGCTGGGAAGAAGACCATTATAAATATTGTTACATTTTGTAGATTTGAAGGAGTTGTATTAACCCTTTAGGATGTCTTAAAGTGGATAGAACACACACACTATAAACCCTGTTCTGAGGAGGTGTTTGATTCGCTCACCCCCCAGCTGTCCGGAGGCTGTGAGTTAGTCGTGGTGTTGCTGGATTTCTCCCCCGGAGCGGCCGGAGAGATCGGGGTGCGCTGCGGTCAGACGGTGGAGCTAGTGGAGAGATCAGTGGAGAGACAAGGGTGGTGCTTAGTGAGGACCACCGACACTACACCTGCACAGGTGAGACACACACACACACACAGCGATACTACACCTGCACAGGTGAGACACACACACACCGATACTACACCTGCACAGGTGAGACACACACACACACACACACACACACACACACACCGATACTACACCCCCACAGGTGAGACACACACACACACACACCGATACTACACCTGCACAGGTGAGACACACACACACACACACACACACACACCGATACTACACCCCCACAGGTGAGACACACACACACACACCGATACTACACCCCCACAGGTGAGACACACACACACACACACACACAGTTGAGAGACACACACGGTATTATTGATTTAGGGAGGAACTGGAGATTAAAGTTTGTATATTTTATGAGTTTTTATATATTTGTCGTTTTTCCTCCAAAACGTTGAGGTTTTTTTTGGATCTTTTTGTTGGTTTTTCAGCATTTTTCAAATAAATTAAAGGTATTTTTTGTAGATTTCTTGATGTTTTTATTATATTTGCTGATTTTTTACTTTTACATTATTAATTTTTTTTTTCACTATCTGTTAAGCTACGCACAAAATTATTTATTATTCCGCCGGGTTATTTTGCGCCTCTTCTTCTCCCACATTCCACATCGCAGAAACTCCGTTCAAACATCAAAACGTTCAGCTCGGTCGGGAATCGATGGCTATTACTTTTCTCATTCATAACGTTCATAATTCCAGAGATACATCCCATAATACATCACATTTTTAACATGGAAGTCAATGGAGATATTCTTCAGACTTGAACAATCTTCATGCGACTTCAACTGCTAACTGTTCATTCATACTTTCACTCAGAAACCTCCTTCCAACTTTCAAATGTTACACATCTTTCTGACATTATCCGTGTAACACAACTTTTAAATCTGATTCTTACTGTTAGAGATATTAAACATTGTTCAGACCTTGGTAAAGAGGCTTTCTTCAGATTTTAACATTAACTAGAGTGCGTGATGTCACAGCTAGAGGGTAGGACAGATTGAATTTTGCCTTCATATTTTTTTTTAAAACTGCCATAATTCCCAAACCCTACATTCCTGAGACATAATTTTTCATGAGAAACGTGGGAAAATATCTCGTAGCTTGAAAGATAAAAAAAATTAAGCAAAATAATTAAACAAAATGCCTCTTGAGGGCATGAAGTGACAAAAACTTTCAACATGTCTCCATTAAAGCCCATTGTAATTTCAGGCTGATATTTCCTCACAGCAGCAGCCGCACACCTTTAGTTAATCTGCCAAAAAGGCCACATTATTAACCCGAAAGTACACAAAAATTACACTTCAGATACTCAAGGTCCTTGACATGCTTCACGCTTTGAAATTTCACCAATATCTGTTACGGTTCTTCAACAAAACGTTCACATGTAAGAGGTTTATCTCTCATTCAGAACAACGCAAAGGCTCTCCTCTCACTGATTACTGCACATCACCATGGAAACCTTTGATCTCTACAGAGCTCGTTAGCTCAAATATAAACACCTGTGTCATGGAACACGATGATGTCATAACTCCAACTGACATGCTCAGAGCAGCAGACTTCAGATAATGGTTAATGGTCCTGCCCTCAACAGCTCTACGTCAATTATAGGGTTTCATCATATGCCGTTTCCATGGAAACGCATCCCTCGCCATAAAAGACGATGTCGCTATAACTCCTATGGAAATGTTCAAAAAGTGCTCAAACTTCACATGTGTGCTAACAGTCCAGCCGTGAAGACATCTACGGGACAGTTTTGAGATTTCTTCAAATGCCGTTGCCATGGCAACACAATGCTCGCCATGAAACACGGTTCTCTCATAACTTCAGTGAAAATGCTCCAAACGGCCCAAAACTTCACAGGTTTGGTAACGATGCAGCCATCAACGCATCTAAGCGTATTATGGGATGTTATCAAATGCCGTTGGCATGGCAACAGATCATTCACCATCAAGTTAGTTCAAAAGTTTGCAGTTCAAATATTCTGCTGCTTTTCCAAGCCTTTTTACTTTCTTTTCTCTCATCACACATTCAAGCCCCCAGTGTTCATGTCTCATTTCAATCTCAATTCTTCACTTTCTTACACATTACATTTCAGCATAGCAGTTCAGCGTCAGCTTTTCAGCATGAAGCATTCCCACTAGCAATTTCTTCAGGAATTGCATTCTCTAGTTATTAAATGATATTCTTCTCACCTGTCCTCCTCTCTTCTTCTTGTCTTGTTTCTCTCTCTCAGGAGGGGCTGCTGCCGATGAGCGCCCTCTGCCTGTCTCACTCTCACAGTGCAGCAGACATGGAGGGTCTGCTCCCCCCCACCACCTCTTCCTCCTCCTCCTCTTCCTCCACCGGCACCACCACCTCCTCCTCCTGCAACTCTTCCTCCACCACCACCACCTCCTCCTCCTCCTCCTCCTCTGCAGGCCGCGGTGAGTACTGCAGCTCCTTCACTAACACACAGGGCAATTCAAATTCAATCACGTACAATGTGTTGGCCAATAGGAGGCGAGTGTTGCATAATGATGTCATTTGATATAAACGCTGGTGTTGGGATGAAACCACGAGGTAGAACTAAATCAATAAATACAGGTACACTTTATTTTTAACTGCAGCTCCCCATTGTTCAGAGACCCAGCAGGAGACAGGAAGTGTGTGTGCGTGTGTGCGTGTGGTGTGCGTGTGCGTGTGCGTGTGTGTGTGTGTGTGTGCGTGTGCGTGTGCGTGTGCGTGTGTGTGTGTGTGTGTGTGTGTGTGTGTGTGTCTGTAAATATTGAATGTCTGCAGAGAGGATGTGAGGGGGGGATTTAAACAGGAAGTGACATCGGGTGCAGGAATAGTGTGTTTTTAATTGTATTATTTTAGCAATATTTATATTGTTTTTATTTTGTATTCTTCATTATTAATTATTATTTAGAAATTGTATTATATTAGCAAACTTAAAAAAATGTGTCTCTTTTTTTAATTAAATGTGATCACACTGTTATTACCAGCAGTGGCTTTGTTATTGTCAGCTTGCTAGCCCCGCCCCCTCTGATCTCAAGCTACGCCCCTCTTCAATCAACCAATGCATGTTACGCCCCGCCCCCGGTGTGTTAAGCCCCGCCCCCTCACTGGTCAGCCCTCCTGTTGCTCCTCTCAACGCTCAGACAGAAACTCCTCGGCTCTTTTTAAAGTTTATTTAAAGTTTAT